CTCTGTCAGAGAGCTCTGGTGCCACAATAAACTACAGTTCCCATGATTCCCTAACCCTAACCTAATATTTCTAGCAGTCTGCAAAGGCCCTATGCAGAGCAGTAGACGATAGAGGGTCTTTGAGATGTCTCATCCACAGGGTCGCCATGAGTCTAGATTGACTGTGAGGGCAGTTAACAACAACAACAATCACAACGTCATAACATCCTAAAGCCACCCATAAGTGAGAAGTGGTAGGATGAAATTTTGAGTCCCAGAGCATCACTCTACACCTGCCCAGTTATAGATAACATCAGGAAAACTTTAGATCAGGAGGGAGGGAATGTGACCTTCTCCACCCAAACTACCATGAAAGCATGAGGGTTTAAAAGTTAGCTGTTTGTTGGTGTGATGTTAGTAAGAAGGTGAGGCCTACTGATGGGTATGGCCCCCAAGCCACCCACAGTTGTCCATCTCTTGTTGTTGTTGTATGCCTTCAAGTCATTTCCAATTATGGAGACCCTATCATGGGTTTTTCTGGGTCTGAGAATATGTGACTCACCCAGTGGGTTTTCATGGTTGAATAGGAAATTAAACTTTGATCTCTAGAGTCCTAGTCCAACACTCAAACAACTACACCATGCTGGTTCATTCCCCATTCCTACTTTAGATGAATTCTAGTTAAAATTGACCTTCCAAAGTCCAGGGGCTGGACTGGGAATGTAATTAATAAATACACTTGTCTGCTACAGAAAACCAAGATATATAGAATACAAGAGCAGCTACTTTTGTTGGTAGTTGCTGCTGCTGCTGTTACGGTTTATTTGGTTTTTCTGGTTCTTTATAACTTTAATTACAATTTCAAGTTTTTTGGACCCCACCTGCCTGCCTCCTCCATGCTGGGCTTTGTTTCCTGAATACAGCTGTGCTCTGAGAATGGAGGAAAGAGATGCTTCCCAGAAAATGGTTAGCATTATATCAAATCGGCCCCCTGTTTTCATTTCATATTGATTTGGTTTATTGAGCCTGCTCTGTATTCCTTTATGTAAAAAGCATACTGTGATGATTCCCTATCTTTTATAAGTTTGGAAACTGCATCCCCAGCATGTCATTGTTTTTCTTTTTTTATTGTTTCTAATATCTGATTGCAGTTGTTTTGTTCACCTCTGCTTTGCAATGGAAAATGCTGGATCTTAGGTTGTTTGCTAGGAACATTTACAACTGAGGTGTCACCTCTTGGGGTGTCACAAAATGTGAGGCTTTAACAAAACATAGCAAAAGCAGTGCAAAACTTTGGCACAGGTTTGAAGTAAATTGGGCAATGTTGGATTTTTGAGTGTTTGCTAGGAACCTCAAACTGAGGCATTTGTTTCTCAGTTTGGGAGATGTTGGTTTTTGCTTTTTTTTTTTTTTTTTTTGCAAAATGTTGCAAAACTTTGGCACAGCTTTAGAAAAGAGTCTAAATCTGGGGACTTCATAAAGCTCTGCTTTTTGTACAATTTGCATCACTGCAAATGCTTTGGTTGTTTGGCTTGTTTCTATTGTATGCAAATGTATTTACAGGACAGCTGTTAGTCCCAACTAGAATAAACCCATTGAATGAATGAGATTTCATGCTTTGTGTACTTGCTGGTCAACAGTTGAGTCAATAGATCAGCTCTAGTTACAAATTTTAAAAAATGTAGTGGGAGAGATTCACCAAACTGAATTGGGCTGATACAAATCAATTCAGGAGAGGTCTTCAGGGAAGCAGACAACCTCTTTGAAGCAAACCAAACCTGACTCTCAACACTCCCAATAATTTGTTAGCAACTGTGGAAATGGAGAGGGTTAGGGTTAGGGATAGCTGGAATGCATGCAATGGATACTGTTGGCCCAGTCTTTTTGCTAGCATTAGAAAAAAAATCATACTTTTAGATATCACAAACTCAACCCTGAAAAGATCCTGCAAAATAAATGACAGTCTCCCCATCTCCTTGATTCTGAAAGGCAGAAAGAGGAAGGGAGCCACTCTTTCTCTCTCTGGCAAGCAGCCTGTTAGCTTGATGCAGCACTTTCCTGCTTTTGCATTCTCCTTGGGTTCCGTGGAAGAGAGTGACCTACTTTTTCTGGTGGTAGAGCCATTATCCGACACAGCAGTGTAGGCAGCCACCACATGGGGTTTCTTGTCTTTCTTAACACATACAAATGTCTTTATACTAAGGTCTGGTTTCTGGCTTCCCCCTTCCCCATAGACACAGGCACAGGCACACACACAATTCTCCATCTCTGCCTGGAAGGTGGAAAATGATAGAAAATACAGACAACATGCAGTGGGGTGGGGATGCATGATGAAAACACCCAGAAACATATAGCAGATATCAAATGCATGTTAATGAAGAGCACATCAAACACATTTACCCTTCCCCTGTTCTCTCTAAACCCACCCACACAACCCTTTATCCTGAAACTTATTCAGAGCACATCCCAGCTAGTTGGAGAATGTATCGAGCATCTTGATATGTATCTAATCCTAACCAGAGTTCCATGATATTTTTAAATAAATAAATAAAAACAGACAGGGAAGGATGATGTTTAGTTTCAATAGTCTTTCTGTTGTTGGAAACAAACAATCCTCTTTTAGGGAACAGGACTGGGAAGAGAGAATCAGTGATGGCTCCTCCTATCTTTCCTTCTTCCTCCAATTTGTTTTACATTGTTGGTAGCAGCTGGTTGAAAGCATGGGGGGGTGCAGACATATCAAGGCAGTGGTGGTGGTAATTCCAATGTTAGTGTGGAGATGAACTGACTCTGAGATTACCTCTGGAATTTTTTTAAATGAACTATCCAAAGTGCTAAACCACATTCTCTCCTATGGTGCCAGTACTCTGGAGAGTTCCTTTCAATAACTTTATTGATGTTATGTGTCTTCAAGTTGACCCCGGCTTCATCTGAACTGCAGAAATAATCCAGTATGACACCACTTTGACTGCCATGGCTCCATGCTAGGGAATTCTGAGATTTGTAGTTTTGTAAACTGTTTACCCTTCTCTGTCAGAGAGCTCTGGTGCCACAACAGTCTACAAATCCCAGGATCCCATTACATTGAGTCATGGCTCCCTCATCCAAGAGAGCTACAGCCAGCAGATGAAAAAAGGTGGGCTCCACAGCAACATTGCACCCCTCCAGTGGGAGAAAGGCCCAGCTAGGTGTCACTCCTTCATTGAGGTGCCACCTGGTATGGTCTACACCCACTGCACCCCCAGTGGCACCACTGGTTTAATATATTATGGCCTGGATGCTGAGATACAGGCTTCAAAAATACCTTGGAAAACTGCTCTACAAACATTTTAAACCCTCCCTCTATTTTCACTCAGCAGCATAAAATCTAACCTGTCCTAGGAGAGAATGCATGGATCAAAACCCAAAAGTAGAGATTGGAGTGAGAAATTATTATTGCTTAGATTCAAAAGAGATTTCAGTTTGAGGGGAAAAGCAGGGGCCAGTCTCTCCCTCTCTAATGCATCGCCATTATATCCGGAAGATTTATTTCCCAATGCTGTTCTGAATACAGAGTAATGTAAATGGGGTGCACAGAGAAAGAGAAACTATTTCTGATATATTTATACTTCTGATCAGGTGATGCCTGCTCTGTTTCCCTTTTGTATGCCTTCACTCTTAAGTTTCCATTAACCTTTAGCATATTTTTATTTTAAAATATTTTACAAAGCTCAAACATGAAAGTTCATACATAACAAAGAATTCCTAATATGAAACTCTCTCTCTCTCTGTAAATAATGAGTGGAATCCTCTTAGTGACTCACGCATGTGTTACACATCTATATGTCCTTTCCTTTTTGATAGGACACAGGGGGTTATTCTCTTGCCCTTTGCACCCCATCCAATCCACCTTCCCAGATACCTGGCAAGCCCCATGAAAAAACTGCTGTTCACTGGCAAGGAAGAGGTAAGGAGAAACTGAGTCAGAGGAGGAAGAAGTGGCTTGTTTGGGTTCCAAGGGGAAGCAAAACAAGGGTGTACTCCATCTGAGAGAATACCAGTGTCTTGGTCCCACCATCTTTTAACTGGTTGAGGTAGTGCAGTGGGTGGGTTTTAATCTGCTTCTAGTTGTTTTGAATTAATGTTATGTTTATGTTTTCAATGGTTTTTTAAAATTGAATTTTGGAATGTCTTTAGCCGTATCATTTTGATGTCAAGTGTCAGCTGCTTTGGGAGATATATATTGAATAAATAAATAAAATGGAGCTCCAAAGACTAAATTCATTCACCAGTCATACCTGGAATAGACCCAATGAATCAATTGCTGAATGATACAGGAACACTTGGTAGTGTAAGCTGAGTTCCATAAGTAGAACTATTCCTTAGAGACCTAAATCTTATTGTTAGTCCTCTGACAAGAACAGATCCCAACTGAGTCAATTTGATTCACCCATGTCACAACTCAACCATGATTTCAGTGGGTCTTCTTTAGTAGGGAGTATCCTTCAGGATTCCAGTCATACATTTATACATTTTTAATGGTCCATAACTCTTTCTCCGTACCTTCTATCTGCCAGTTGATTCTCTGGGATTTCATAAACTGCCCTTGTGCTTGCCCCATTGCACACTGAGACAATAAGCAAGTACATCGGCAGATGGACCACCAGTTACACAGTTTTGGTATTCAGAAGTTGGTATAGCATAGCCACCATGTACCTGTCTGGGTGCAGATTTACACTACACAAGAATGATGTAGTGTTTCAGCTTTGTTGATGTGTTATGTGGGTAAATATGGGTTGCTGTACAGATGTTCCCATCAGGATGTTGTGGTGGTGGTGTGCCTTCAAGTCATTTCTGACTTATGGAGACCCTAAGGCAAACCTATGATGGGGTTTTCTTGGAAATATTTGTTTAGAGGATGTTTGCCATTGCCCTCCCCTGAGGCTGAGAGCATGTGACTTGCCCAAAGTCACCCAGTGGGTTTCATGTCTGAACTGGGACTGAGAGCATGTGATTTACCCAAGGTCACCCAGTGGATTTCGTGTCTGAACTGGGAATCGAAACCTGGTCTCTAAAATCATAGTCCAATGTTCAAACCATTATGCTACACTGGCTCTCATCAGGGTATGGTACCAAAGTAAATTAGATCCATGGATACTGCCAACACCCACACCCCATCCACAGTTACTCTGCAATATAGTCTATGATTCCTCAGGAACCTAATCATATTATATGTTAACTCAGGTTGCATGAAAAATCCCCACTGTTCCATCCGTCTGTAAGACAGCATCCTCACCGCTGTTACTGTTTTTTTTCTCTCTTTAGACATAAAACAATTTTAAGTGCTTTGAGTGCTGCTTGATTGCTCATGGCCCAGGACTCTTGCTGTGAGTCGTTTGAGAGGAAGATTACCTCTAGGGAAAGTGGGAAAATAGCCCTTTCTTTCAACCTTCCAATCAAACTTAATTGCACCATAATCTACCCAGAAATGCCAATACGGCAATGCACAGGCGAGTCCTCAGGGTGCTTTCTCTATTGAATATTCCAGAGTCAGGTAGGAGGATTTGCCATGTTCCAGCATGGCTTCCAGGAGTGGCTCTCATGAGCCCTTTCTGGTCTTGACCAATTTGGATGACAACCATCCAAGAGAGGTTGCAAGTGAACAGAACCATGGACAGCTCACAGTGGGACTAGCTAAGAAATGTCAATATGGAGGCAAAGCCTGTTGTTGTGTGCTTTCAAGCCCTTTCTGACTTATGGCAACCCTAGGGTGAACTTATCATGGGGTTTTCTTGGCAAAATTTGTTCAGAGGAGGTTTACCATGGCCTTTCCCTGAGACTGAGAGAATATGACATGCCCAAGGTCACCCAGTGGGCTTCATGGCTGAGCAGAAAATCTAATCCAGAGTCATAGACCAACACTTAAACCATGCTGGGTCTCTTGGCAAACAAACCCAAATGGGGGTATAGAGTACTACCTTTCCACAATGGTGGGATTGTGTGTTCCTATGAGACAAGAGGCTATGTTGATGGCAGCAGCATTGCTCATAGGGTCTCCATGCCAGTCAGGTTTTTGCTGAGGAGTGAGATGAAATATGTCAAACAGCTATGGGTAGCAGCAGTAGTGGAGGGTGACATTGGTGAAGGACTTCTCAGATGCCATGGATCACTAAAATGATCAATAAATGGGTCCTAGAGCAAACCAAACCTGAGCTCTCCCTAGTAGCTAAGATTATTAAACTGAGCCTGTTGTACTTTTGACATATCATGAGAAGACAGGACTCACTAGAAAATACAATAATGCCTGGTAAAGGAGAAATCAGGAGGAAAGGAGGAAGACTGCATTACAGATAGACTCAGTCAAAGAAGCCACAGTCAGTCCCTGCTTCAGACTTCCTAAAAGAACCAGGTTTTAACTAGTTAGCAATTCATGGTGAGTCAGTGATGAAGCCCTCAGTTTTAATGGCAGAATCCTGTTTCTCCAAGTGTTTATGGGAGCTGTCCAAGTGCTAAACCCTACATCGATTCAGGACCTAGATAGCTCCTTTAACACCTAGAGGACAAGCTGACATCTGGTGGAGTTGTGAAAGAGGCTGCCATTAAAATCAAAGATAGAATTGCCACCCCTCCATAACAAAATCATAATCTGCACCTATCTGGGAAGACACAGAAATTCAGATAGTGTGATTCCATATAAAGAAAACAAGCTAGAAAAAAAATCACAGAAACCATAGCTTTGTGATTGACTGTTTCTGCTGTAATTACAGTAGATGGTTCTACAAGGGTCCTGTAATCCCAGTACCTTGGTGATGGGATTTTGAATTAATATACTAAAGGACTAGTTTGGTATTCAGTGCTCTTTGCAAGATCTCTTTCCAATGAGTAGGAATATTAAAGGTGATTTGTGGACTTTGCAGAACCTGGATTTTGCAGCATATGCAATACAACAAATATATTGAGGCGTATGTGTTTCCTCAGTCCTTCTCCCCTGTAATGATCCATTGGTATCCATAACTGCTAAAGCTGGGACCACTTTGAGTTTAATGCTTTCATATTTGCAAGAACATTTAAGAGAACATGCTTGGAGAACTCTTCTCTCCCGTTCAGTGTCTCTTCAGACGGGAAAAGACAAGAGACAAGTTTTCAAGTAGAATGTAAAACAGTCCAATAGCAAGGAAAGAATGTGTGCATTAATTCTTTTAAGAATAATCAGTTGTGAAAGCATTAATTTGTACAACTTCAACCTCAGGCCTTTGGAGGGAGATAATTGCTGTAAAGTTAGTGAAGCAAAACAAGGCAATGCCCCAACCTTGCAAGAGTCTGTGCAGGGGCAACCCAACTATTTATAATTGGGCTTGTGAAAAGGAAATGTGGAGTGGATGGCAGGATGAAGAAGGGAGATTCAGGTGGATAACAAGAAAGGAAATTTGGCTCTTGCTCTATGAGAATCTACTGGTCAATTATCTTGAGGTTTGCCATGACACCTTATCTCAACACACCCTCTCACTGAGAAAAAGAGAGATGCAAAGGAGAACCTCTCAGGCAAAGCCACTGAGGGTTGAAAAAAGGGAGACACTGCCGAGGAGAGAATATGTTCAACTGATCACTCTGTGGCAGGGGAGACACTGTCCCTGTAGAGGATTCCAGCTGCCATCTATAGTCCCTGAAACAGAGTACGGGTAGAAGCTCGGACCTTTTCCTTGGAGAACTGCTGTTAAGTAGACAGTAAAAGCACTACATGCTTGGAAATGTTTTTGGAATGTGGTACTGGAAAAGAGTTATATGGATAACATCGGAATGCCAAAAAAGGCAAATCAATGGGCCCTAAAGCAAAGCAAATCTGAACTCCCCCCCAGGAAGCTAAAATTATTAAATTGAAGTTATTGTAATATGTTGCTTTCAAGAGGGCATCCTGATACAGCAAGAGCACCTCTCCGAAAAGATAGTCAAAATGGCAACTGGGAATGATGCAATGTCTTTTCCATTCGGCAAAAAAGCAGCTGCAACAACACAATTAGATCTCTCTGAAGCAACCCACCCACCCAATGGCCAGTGCATCCCTCCCAAGTTCTGGAGCATGCCCATCATGGCACAAATCCTACTGATAGTTAGAATAGGTAGACTGAATTAATAGATATGTCCACATTGCTGAACTAAAGCAGTTTGACACCACTTTAACTGCCATGAGTGTATTCTACAAAATCTTAGATTTGTTGTTTGATGAGGCATTCAACCTGGTCTAGCAGAGAGAGATGCCTCACCAAACTACAAATCCCAGGATTCTGTATAGTCATGGCAGCTAAAGTGGTGACAAACTGCTTCCGTTCTGCAGTGTGGATGCATCCAATGCAATTTATCTCCGTGTTGACTCACTATTAAGTGATACAATAGGCCTATTCTGGTTGAGGCTAGTATAAGGATCCAAGCCATGTCTCCACTTGACCCTATGTAGAATCCTTTTCTGGAATCCCCCCTCTCTCTGTTCCTGATTTCTGCATAGTTTTTACCATTTCAACCTAAAGGGTTCTGTCCTACTTGTGTCACTGTTAAAAGTGTTCATTTATTATACTGAATAAATCAGTTAGATTCACACTCTGTTCATTGAGTTCTTAATTCACCACCTCTAATTAAATTAAGTAGCCACACTGAGGGAGAAACTCAATTACTGGAAAGAACCATGTAAACTCAGTGGAGTTGCTTCAAATTCCTGGGGAATTTGCTGATGGATTTCACACTAAGGGTGCAATCCAGAGAAAAATTGAGCTGCAATTTTTTTGTGCATTTGCTTCACAGTAGGGCATTACAAGCCCTCAAGAAACTATTTCTCAGTAAACATGCACAAGATCTGCATTTTTGCATGCTTGAGTCTGAATAATTACCATTGCTGGACAAATGTCTGTGCCTTCAAGTTGTCTTACCCATGGCAAGGAATACTCAGAAGTGGTTTTGCAGCTCTTTCCTCCGAAATATACCTCAGAGCACATTGAATTCATTGGTGGTCTCCCATCCAAATATTAGCCAGGGGTGCACCTGCTTACCTTCCAAGATCAGATGGGATCTGATAGCTTTGGGGTATTTTGGCTGGATGTATGAATAGCTTCAGCTTATTGATGTTTACTCAGACATAGCTCTCAGTAGCAGGTGAGTTTTTTCCATATCCTCAAGATCTTCTAAATGGAGATGGTAGCCACTGAATATTGTAGCCTTTCACATGTAAAGCATGCACTCTGATACTGAACTATGACCCTGTTGCACTGTGGCCTAAAGTTAATTCATGGTGGCCATTTGTGGCCCTCCATGACCTCTTTGAAGAGCAACTCATTACTACCATGAAGATGAAATCTTCCCAGAAGCCCTCACTTGACTCACTTTCTGCTGCACATTTCCAATAATTTCTGAAAAATAATTGAAGAGCCTGTATCTTCAATAGGCAGCTAACTTTGGCCACTTTCCTGATCATTAACTAGCCCCTGAATTGGAGCTGCCTGGGCAAAGGGGTGGTCATTTTCCCCATCAGAACTGGGCCTAGCAAAAAATGTATCCCTCCTTGTGCCGGCTTGACCTAATGAGAATAGGCAGTTAGCTCAAGCGAGCCCTGTGGCCTGGGCACATGTTGGCAGCATGTACAAAGATATGTCAAGCCCCATTCAGACTTACGGCATGATGCCCCTTCCAGTGAAAACTCAGCTGAGCAATTTAAACATTTGTTTAAAAACAAGGGAGAAAGACATGAAGGCAACTAATGAGGTCCCAGCTACCGGCAGGAAGCTCAAGAAGCAGTCAGATGCCACACTAGCCTTGAGCTGTTAAGCTAAAGAACAGGACTAGAACCGAGAAAGCACTTGGAATGGGGGGGGGGGTGTGTGTGCTTGGCTAATGAAAAGTTGGTTGGCAAAGTGCAAAGAAAGCAAGACAGCTATAATCTCCTCTATCTTCGGAAGAGAAACGGTAAGGAGGAGAGGTATTTCTGAATTCTCCCCCGTTTTCTTTAAAGTTCACCTTTATCTGGTCTTCCTTCCAAACTGGAACTCATTAGGAATGCTCACACATCTTGCTTGGTCTGCACTTTTCAGCAAAGTGACCTGATTCACGCTTCCAACATTAATACATGGAT